CAAATGACAGTCAGGAAGATCTTGAAAGAAAGGTACACAGGTTAAAATTCTGACGACTTCCCAAAACAGATAGAAGGGCCACCGCTGAGCACGCCACTAACGCAATAATCTGAGTAAATGCTGCCCCCACCCCCACTGCAACCCACTGCTCCCTTGACATCTGCTCTTGGCAGATTCTGACTCAGGGACAGCAGTGGCGACAGGACAAGAGTTGAGGTGGTCAAATAACTGGTGTAATTTCCTCCATCCTGCTGATGGTATTGAGGTCATGGAGACAGAGCCACGGTGGTGGCTTTCTTTAGCCTCTGATGAATGTAAGAGGACATGAGCAATTGTTCATTGCTTAAACAAAAATCAGTGCCCAAAAGGCTGAGCTCATGGTATCTACACTAGAGCTACGAAGTTCTACCCAATGGAATACTGCCTGTAAAATTAAGATAAAACAGAACTAAGCCTCTCATATTTAATGAAAAGAAGAAAGGAGATAGAATGACACTTTTAAATCAAAGTGCTCCAGTTTAGCTTAGAGCAGTTGATAAACTTTCTCATGCTGAAGTGACCACATAACTTGCTCAAGTCTGGAAGAGTTTAACATCACATTTTAAAGGTTGGAGTAAGTAGACACTAAACAAAGACAAGACGGGGAAGACAACTGCCTACAGGATGAGCCAGTGTATTGTGTAGAACTGACGGTCACGGGCTTCACTCACTTCTGTCTGATGTTCCTGTTTTAAAAAAACCTTCTCAAACTGAACTCAGGGGAAGGGAACCAAGACCTTCCTAAGGTAACTTTAAAACCAGTCTTGGGCTCAGTAAGAACATTCCATAAAATAATCATCACAGTTTAAAACAGATCATCTTCCCCTGACACTGAAGTGTCCCCTGACAGTGAAGTGTCCCCTGACACTTCCCCTGATCCTTCTTAGGTTTCTTTGCCTGTCTAGATTTTGCCCAATAATCTTGACACATTTTTGCCTCTAAACATTTCATAAAGTATCCAGAATCAAACTAAACTACCAGAGTGCTCAGTGCCCTACAGAAGCAGAGGTTCTAAATGAGATGTGAAGGACGCACTGGAGCAGCTCACAGGGCCACCAGCACTCAGCCTCCCTGGCCAGGGTAGTAAGCGAGGTACGGATCATACCAAGCTGACGCCTTCCTACCTCCTGCAGCACATCCGCTTCTTCCATTTACAAATGTGGAGATGGACCAGAGATGAGGCTAGGTCCAGATAGAAGTCGTCACCCTGCCCCTTGGATTTCTTGCTTATTAGTCCTTTAGAAATGATTCTCTCAAAATTAGAATCAGAATCATCAGAACTGGATGGTTTCCTACTGTTTCGATTCTTGCTTTTGGCAGGGTCATGCTTTCAAGAGACATCCAGGTTCAAGACTGGATCTGTTTTTGGTTCCTTTTGGTGCTGCCTATTCTTGGTACCAGTAGTGGAGGTAGAAGACTGACCTTTTCCTGCCATCTTTTTCACTGTCACGCATTTTTCAGGACGTGGCTTTGTAACTTTAGTTTTGGCTGGGAAATCAGCAGAAGGGCTTGGAGAAGGTCCTTAGCATCATGAGCCTGGAGGCCAGTTCCTGAGATGGTACTTTTCTGTGGCTTTGGTTTTTTCTCAGTACGTTTTGGGGGAGTTTGGGGCTTGGCTCGCCTAGCATCTGATAGGACAAAAACCTTCATCTTCAGTTTTTTTCTCAACATCTGAGAAATCTTCCAAATCCAAATCCATTGTGGCTTCGTTTTTGCTGCAGATCTCTGTGGCTCTATTTCTCTTGGAGGGACATCAAAATTATTTTCAGTACTACTCATATCTGATTCTGATTCTGATTCAGATTCAGACCAGGGGTTTCTCTTCCTTCCTTTTTAGACAATTTAAAGGGCGATGCAGCTCGTTTCTTTCCCTGGGTTCCTAGTTCTCTTTTCAGTTTCTTCTCTAATCTCTGTTTCAGGCCTTGTAGCTCCACACTGTCATCCACAGGGGCTCCCTCAGGATTTTCACTCTTATTTTTCTGCCTCTGCTTTCATCTCTGTGGTCACTCAAGGCATGACCCTTTTTCCTTGTTGAGAAGGCAAAACCTCAGCTGTTTTTTTCTCCTTTGCTTTCCTTCCCTTCCTAGGAAGTTCTACTTGTTCATCTTGATTTTCTTTGCCTTCACCAGCCTCTAGTTCTTCAGTAAAAGCAGCCAGGTCTTCTTTCCACAAATCCAACAGACTTTTTCTTTAATGTGTCCAGCTCTGGCTCCTTTTCAGTTCTCTGTTTGGCCCTGTATCTGCTGGAGCATCACCCTTTGCAGTTTCCTTTGCCCCGTCATTTCTTCATTTTCTTCCTCATCTTGAACCTTTGGTTCGCCTTCCCAAGCCTTCACAGAGTCTGAATCATATCCCCTCTCTTGGGTGACTCCTGATAAAGTCACATGATCTAACTGAGTTCAAGCCCCACTCCACATCCAGTACAGACAGGCGTAATTGTCTCTGCTTGTGCAACTCACTCACCCAGGATCAGAGCTAAAAGGGACTTGGGGCTGGGAAAGGGCTTCCTTGGAAACTGAATTCAGGTGAAAGAGATCCAGTTTGTAGAGCTCCCAGAAAGGTTTCTCTGCCAACAAGTGGGATTCTGCTCCCTGAACCCCCTGTCCTTAATGCCTGCTGTCTTTCTTTTGGACTAAGCTGTTGGTGTTGTTTATATCCAGATGGCCCCCCTTAATGCCAACCGAGATGGAAAGGGTGACCCAGTAGCCCAGGAATAAAGGCCTGCTTCTCTTTCATAGTCTTCTTTAACTTTGGTGTTAGAGGGTAAACAGGTGTGAGCTTGCTGGTGACCAAGATACTTACCAGAAGCTTTAAAAATATGCACATTCTTTGATGCAGCAATTCCTTCACTAGACATATTATCGAAGGAAGCAATGTGTCCAAAACTGTGTCTTCAAGGAAGTCTTATTTACAGCCACACAAAATTATAAATTATCTAAGTGTCACAGAATAAGTAGTCAGCTAAATAATGGTATGCATGTACAATAAAATACCACCAGACCAGTGTTATGGGTGTGTGACCAAGGCAGTCCTTCAGAGGGACTTCTTACCCACCTAACTGCTCTGCTGTTGCTGTCTTTAAAATCTTCATCATTTCTGAGGGACAGTCCCTCATGAAAATTTTACAGTATAGTGTAAAACATTTTCATTATACACTATAGCTTACAAATTATGTAACCATTTCCTGAATATATATGTAACAAAGTAATTCTTATGGAGACTACTCATTGAAATAGAAAATTGCTTCAAATAAATGAAGAGGTGAGGCTGTAAAACCACAAATGAAGCAATCCTAATTTTGTAAAAAACAGAAACATGTGTACATGTTGATAGAAAAGACTGAGCAGAAATATACCAAAACGTTAGAGCAGTTATCCCTGAAGAAGCAAGATTACCCGCCCATTCATCCTATTACTATTTTCTCCTTTGACCATTTTGTCTGTTTTCTAGTAGGGAGAGCATGAGTGTAGTCTTGGACTAACATTTCTGAAAGAGGCAAAAATGTGTCTGCCAGAGCTGAGAACAAGCAATTCTCTCTTGTGCTCCGATGGAGTCAGGAGCCCTGCGCATGCCGAGGAGCTTTCTGGATTAACACACACACAGAGAATGAGCTGCTGAGAACACCAAGTGCTCCTTGAAGTGGAGGATTGACCTGTTGGTCTCCACTTCCCATCGTGAGCCTGGCACAGACAATGCATCCAACGACTGGGCTCCCTGCCATATTTGTGGCACTAGATCAATAGTGGTCTTCGCCCGTGACAGTCTCATTAGACATTGACCGTGTTGTATTCTGACAGAGGTGGGACCTTCTCTGGCTTGGAGCTAGACATGAGCTCCGAGTAAGTCACTAAGACCAGCGAGAGGAGCCAAGCCCTAAGTCCTGTGCGTCCTGTCTCCCTCTGAGAACAGGCTCCAGGAACACAGGTCAGACTTCCTCCTGTGCAAGGAGGGCTCCACTTCCCACCCTTGCATCTGTATGAGCACAAACTTTATCCCAACAGCAGAGGGCAGCAGTGATCAACGAACCCAGAAGAGAGGCTGATGGGGAATGGGGTGGGCCTTGAGAAAAGAAGAGGTGGTCGGTCCTCCAGTAGGCAGAGGTCCTGCTCCCTCCACACTTCTTCCTCAGATTTCTCCTCTCCCAAGTTCTCATCAACTTTTTCCTGTTGTGATCTTAGCTAAGCATGGCAGGTAACACAGGAATGTAACTCTTCTGAGTCACTGGCCTCACATGGGCAGATGGGGTGTGGGGGTCCAGAGGAAGGATGGACTTGCTCAGAGCCACACAGGGAGCAGAGGCAAAGACTTCTCCCCACTGCGGTGGCCAGGCAGGACTCATACTGAGTCTCCCATAGGAAAGGCTGTTTCACAGGAGGCAGGCAGTGTGAACCTGACGGAGGCCCACGGCACCTCCTGTGCACTCAGCTTTGAGACGTGGGCTCGGGAGACGAGACACTCATGGCCATATTGGGAGGCAGGGCTGTCTCGCCTCTGAGTTCCCCCACTATTGTGCGCTCCATATTCTCGTGTGGGGGATGCTGCTCCAAGGAGACTAGGAAATCTCCCAAGGATTCCTGTCTTCCCTTCAGCAGGCTCAGCCCCTGGCAGGACACATGGTGCTCAGGGAAGATGGGAGGGTTCAACAGTGGATGTGGGATGTGAAAGGAGTCGGGCAGGACCCCTCTGTGTTCTGCCAAGCCCAGGCAGGACGGTAGGACTTCATACCTCTTTCCCCATCTGCGTGAGTTCCCGAACACACATACTCAGTACTGTCCCATCTCTGCCTTCATCTCATGATGCCCCACCAAGTGCCTCTCCTCCAGGGCCTCCTTACCTCTCCTTCAGAGCAGGGGCCAGCCGGAAACTGATGACACAGGGCCCTTCGAGGAGCAGTATAGCACAGTGGAGAGGGAAACGTCAGAGCATCACTGACCTGTGTTCTGAGCATCAAAGTGCCTTACCCTTGTCTGTAAAAAGTTGCTAATCCACGCACCACACAGGCAGTTGTGAGCACTCAGATATGGAGCAGAGAAGGCCTGATAGAGCAGACAGGGAGCTACCGACTTCCATTTGTACATATGGCTGCTTTCCTGTGAGACGAAGAGCTCTTTGCAGGAAGGAATTGGATCTTTCGATGTGCCAAGACCTAGCAAGGTTGAAACGATGAAATATCAGTGAGAGGTAAAGTTCTGCTCCTCACCAACAAGATCTAGGAACACAGCTCTCACCACCGACAGCACCCACCCTGGTCTCTGCTCATCGGTCAGCACTCCCAACACCCCAGCGCCAGCGCCATTCTCCGTCTTTGCAATGACAGCCGCATCCGGCAATGTGTTCCCTCCTAATTAACCTTCTCAATGATCTTTATGAAAGTTTTCATAAATTTTAAAAACTGATTTACACACTTTAATAAAAGCATGGCATGGGCAGGGAATATTGAGCCACAAATTTTCCATAATAAAATTGACATGAGTAGATTATCAAGGTTGGGGGCTCCCCTCCCCCAGCCCTCATGGTCTTTCTCGGGACCAGTAACTGTGTTTGTTGCTTGGCAGACCACGGTGAGCTGGGATGGGGACAAGCTCCAGTGCGTGCAGAAGGGCGAGAAGGAGGGCCGCGGCTGGACCCAGTGGATCGAGGGTGACGAGCTGCACCTGGTAGGTTCCTGGATGGGGCCAGACTGTGCCCCCAGAGACCCTTGTCACTGTGGAGGTCCCAATGGACTTGGGAAGAGACAGTGGCGGGGCCTTCGTTCTGCTCTGAAGCTTCTCTCCCAAGGGCCTGGAGATGTGTGAGTGACTTTTAGAACCATGCAATGTATTTTCAAGGTCTGGACCAGTGATGGCAAACCTTTTAGAGCATTCAGTGATACCAACAGCCTGCTGTTGCGTGCATTCCAGAGGCTTGCCACCGCTGTCTAGGCCAACGCATTGACAAATGAGAGGGAGCAGGTGAGAAGGTGCCCTTACTAAACATCAACAATGGATTCTCTTTCCAGTGACTTAAAATAGGAATTAATTCCTGTTTTGCTGCTAAGGATATCAGGCCCTGAAAGGCTAGATTAGACGTCTGCATTGCATATTTAGAAAGAGCCACCTGTTGCTCCCAAAGGATGTCTATGCGCTTTGTGCCTAATTGTGGCAGGCTAGGCTGAGGAGAACTCCCTAGGCTTCTCTAGGACACGATCTCAGCCTAGAGTTGAGGGAAGAAAAGCCTGCTTCCCCCACTCACCTTGTCCTCCACCTAGGAACTCAGGTCAAAGCCACTTGTTTTCTCTCTGCTGTCGCGGAAAAGCACATAGATCCAGAGCACAGCCCTGAGCTCCTGGCAAGCTAACATAGCTCATGTCCCCCAAGGAGAGACCTTCTGCTACTCCTCTTCCCCACAGAAGTCCGCAGCTACTTCTGGCAGCACAAGGAGCCTAGTCCAGGCAGTCCGGGTTCTAATCCCAGGCCACTCACCAGAAGGTCCCTTCCCTTCCTCAGCCTCCTCTGCATAATGACACCCCGTCTCACCGAAGTTCTGCAAAGGTCTCTGAGGAGAGATGCAAGGGTGTTATTTCCTGAGGTCTAGCCTGATGCGGGGAGCCTCAGCTGCAAGATCCAACCTGGAACTTGTCTCCTTCTGTGCCTTTGTTTCCCCAGCTGCAGAGCAAATGGGTTAGATGAAGTAACCTGCATTATCCTCTCAGCTTAAGAGTTCTGTGGCTCTATGCCAGGAGCTGAAAATGGAGGGCTGCGGGTCTAGTTTATTTAAGCCCTAAAAAGACTTGAAAGTTCTTCAACCAACTATTGAAAAACTAGGAAATGTCTCGCAAATATTTAGAGTTCCACCTTCTTGTAAAAAAAAAAAAAAAAAAGAAGACATGGCAATACAGCTGTCTTTGCCACCTGGCCACAGCAGGGGCTGAGCAGGAGCCGATCCTGAGGGCAGGCTACAAGCTGTCTTGGCTGTAACCCTGGGAGGCTTTAGTGGTAGCTCTGCCCCCTGGGATATTGCTATAACTGCTGTAGTATGGCATCCAAGCATTCCCAAACTCCCAGGTGCCTCCTGTGTGTACTTCAGACTACCCTGAAGTCCTGTCCTGCAACAACCTATTGATCCATGTATCTGGGGCCAATCCCTTCTAAGCCTTGGCATGGACTCTGTCATGGGCTTAGGCTTTGGGTTCTTAAAGCTTTCTGGCCTCGTGAGGGTGGTGAGGGCAGAAGAGGTATAAAGAGGTCTTATTGGCCAGCTCTGAGCCACATCTATGCTCCTAGCCAGCTCTTTCTGCAGCATGCAGAGATTCTGATCTCCACTACCCCTGTTCACCTGATTCTAAGGAAATAATTAGCTCAATTCATGGGGAACAATAGCAGCCACTGTTTTCAAAGTTCTTGCATTAAGATGCTCTGTGCCCCAGCCATGACATTACTCTGGCCAACAACCATCTGCTTTTGTTTCAGGAAATGAGAGTACAGGGTGTGGTCTGCAAGCAAGTATTCAAGAAGGTGCACTGAGGCTCAGACTGATGACCTTGATCTCAAGGAAGGAGTCGCATAGATCTGGGGCAGGATCCCCCTCTGCACAGCATGGGGCAGAAATGTCCAGCCACACCCAAGCATCCGTTAGCAGAGTCTATCTCTTTGTCTTTGATTCTTTTCCTTTTTCTTACAATGAAGCCATCCCAATAAAAGTGATCTCTGTTTAGGACGTCTGTTTTGCAGAAGTTTCACATTCCGCTTTGTACCCTAGGACTTCCAAGGCAGCTTTTCCTGACCCACCTGCAGCTTTAGCACTGTGTTTGCACCCGGCATGTCTTTCCCCAGGGGCACAGGTGAGGCTCTGAGGTGTCTTCCCTGATATTCAGTCATCTGTGTACTACATACCTTCCACATAAATGCCCAGCCAGAGCCGGGGTGTAGTGAGTGCCACAAAATTGGGTGAGGACGCCCACCCTCTGGGAACTGGGAGCTGAGATGAGGAGATCTAGCCAACAGAGAGTGGCTTCATAATTGCACCACACACGAGGAGATGCCCTAGTGTCATTTGTGAATGAAATGGAGCTGGATAGGATTTTCAGCCCAAAGCTAGAATGAGGTGAACCTTAATCAAAGGCAATTACCTATTAGATTTGATTTCAGGCATGTCACAAACACATTATTCCATCCCAAGACCATTCCTACCCCACCTATGGGCTAAGGTAAAGCCTTTGTCTTCAATCTTTTAGATAGAACAGGGAGAGCAGCCTTATGTTCATACTAAAGTGTAAATGATTGCTAGCTGTACCTTTGAATGAAGAAACACAAAGAAATTGTAAACAATCAGGAAGGGAAGACTCACAAGGAAGACCCTTGGTCAACCTGACAATCTTCTCTGCTGTCCTCTAACTTTTGGAAGTAGCACTGGGTTAGGATTCACATGAGCTGAGCTTAAATCCCAACTTCACTCACAGGGCAATATCACATCTCTCTGGAGCTTGCTTTTCCAGCTAAAAAGCCACAGTGATAACTTGCCTTACCTCCTGTCCAGGTGGCTTCATGGCTTAGATCTAGAATGTCCTCCAAAAGCCTCATGTGCTCAAAGGTGGGGCTTCGGAAAGTGATTGGATCATGAGGGTGCTATACTTAGTGGATTAAACCACTGTTTAAGGGCATAGATGAATGTGCCCTTAGAAAGTGGGGCCCAGTTGGAAGAGGTGGATCACTGGGGTTGTGACCTGGAAATGCATATCTCTCCTTCCTTATCTGCTTCCTGGTCACAGTGATGTGAGCTGCTTTCCTCTGCCAGGCTCTTCCACTACACCCTTACTGCCTTAGAGGCAGCCAACCATGGACTGAACCCTCTAAACACTGTGTGCCAAGACAAACCTCCCTCCCTTAAATTGTAGGTGTCAGTATTTTGTCCCAGTAATAAGAAAGCAGCTAAGACAGGTAGATTGGGAAGCCTGGAATGCGTGTGGAACCTCTAGACTGCCAAGCACCAGACCGATGGTCCTCAACCTGGCATGTCCGAACCACCTGCGGAGCTTCAGAATTCACTGTACCCCAGTCACTCCCCAGAACCAGTTACCCCAGAACCAGTTACATCTAAAAGCCTCAAAATAAGAGGCATCATCTTTTTTGATTCACATGAGATTCTCATAGGTGACAAGTTGAGAATGACTGCCCTCGGACAGTGGTTCTCAGCTAGAGGTAATTCAGTCCCCAACCCCACTCCAGGCCTCTGAGCAGTGTCTGCAGACATTTGATTTCATTGCTCAGGGGAGGGAAGTGTTACTGGCAATTACTGGTCAAGCCAGGGATGCTGCTGTATGCCCTGCAGTGGCAAGGGCTGTGCCCCCAACCAAAGAAAGAATCATCCCACCCAAGATGTCAGTAGTGGTAAAATGGAGAAACGCTTAGATGACCTTGTCTACTTGCCTAGCCTGCACCCAGGAGTGAAAACCTAGTGTCGCCTAAGCTCCTGGAGCCCCCTCACTTTTGCAGCTTTGGTCTCACAGGCAACAATCTTTATAAAGACCCTTTGTTCATTGATATCTCAGTGATGGCAAACACTATCAGATAAGGAAGGCCTACTATGTGCCAAACACTGATCAGGTGCCACCTGGGAGGTATGGAACACCACAAGTCCCCCTTCCACCTCGTTTGATCCCACTTCTGTTTGTGAACTCCACACTAGGTGGCCAACACGACTGCGGCCATCTTCCCCACACAAACACAAACGCAGCCGTCTTCCCCAATATCATAAAACAAATTAAGTGTGTGAACCGAGATACCACTGTACTTCAAGCATATTTTGACATGTTATATATCATCGGTTTTTCTAGTGTAGAAAGAAATAAAAGAATAAAATGCCTTTATTGGGGGCAGAGAGAAGAACACAGTAGAAAGGAGGGACATGGAGCTTCTGAAGGCCTGGCCTAGGGACAAAGGCTAAATAGGGCCAGGCTGGATGTGGGGTTTGGGGGCTGGACCACCTGTGGTAGACAGGGATTGGGTGGGAGCGTGGGAAAAGAAAACAGGATATGACAGATAGGGAAGTAGGAAATCAGAATTTGACTCAGGAAGAAGGCTGGGGCTTAGCACATGGCCTCTAGTGGCCAGCACCATATTGGCTCAGGGCCATACTGGCTCAGCACCATAGCACATGACCTCCAGTGGGCGGCACCATAGCGACTCAGCAGTAATCTTAGTGAGGTGAGAAACCCATCATTCCCGTCCTTTGGTTATAGGGGGTGACAACTCCTCTTAGACTGCTTCCTGCTGAATAGAGGCATTGCTATGGTAGGGGGTGAGGGGATGACAGGTGTCGCCTATGTGAAAGCCAGTGTTAGGGATGTCTGCTAGAGCGAAGAGTTCATTGGCTGTGATTGTGCAAAGCCTGGACTGAATAAAACCAGATGAAAGTTTAAAAATGCAAGGCCCTATAAGTAAACAGGCTATTATCATGATTATAGCGCCCAGAAGAGGTAGCAAGAATGGTGCCCATGACCCAAATGCATCATTCCACCAGGCCCATGGTGTACGGGGAGAGATGGTTTCTCAGCTCTGGGCATTTATGCTTAAGCCAGGTACAAAGACTTTTTACCTTGTCCATAACATCAAAGGCATGGAAAAACCTATTCATAACCCCTAGTTCAACAGTGTTAAAATCTCAAACTTCCATTCCAGGTGGTAGATCCAGGGAATTCGAAATGCAGTGAGTCAATTTCCCCATCAAATCTTCACTCCCAATACATAAATACCTCACCCTGCAGTTACGTCCTGGTGACAGACTTCAAGGTATGGTCCTGATGGCATTAGTATCTTGTAGGCCACTTTCAGAAGTCACGAATCCCATGGGGAGATGCAGCCTTGTTCTGATTGGACGTTGAGTACTGGGACTAATTTTAGTGGGCAGTGGAGAGCCCCAGGAGGTTTAGAGCAGGGGAGTCACCTGATCAGCCTTTGAGCAGAATTAATCTGGCAGCCATTCTTTCAGTGCATGAGGAGGAGATGGAGGGAAAGAGGGAAGGAGAGAGAGCTTAGCATGGGGCAGTCACATTTAATTCAAAGTTCACTTCATCTTCCCAAAGTCATAAATGCAAAGTGGGAGGAATGTTTCTTACTGTGTGCAAGCCTATAACCGCAGCAACAGGCTCTGGCTTTAATGCTGCTTTTCATTTTCACAGCACTTTCTCCGGTACTTCGCAAAGGGCTCACTGCTAAATGAGCAACGGTGTGCATATGGAAACCATTCAGCCTTCTCTGTGGCACCTCAGCACCTCTCACCTCCAGCGCAAAGCCATTGACGTGCGCTCCATTTTTAGAGCACTGCTGTAAGCCCCACCACTTCACCAGCACTTGGATGTCATTGTCACAGGATGCAAAAAGGATTTTCAGATCTAACAGTGCCTGGTAACATAACTGGGCACTCGGACTGGAATCGCCCACCGAATTTCCTAAGCATGGCAAGGATGGTGTGCTTCCCTGATGAGGGATGGCCCTCTCCTGGTGCTTCGGGGCTGTGGAAATGAGGTCACCACATCTCACAATTTCCTGGGCCTGCCACCTGGAATGGAAGTTTGCAATTTAGATTTTTGGATCTGGGAGTTACATATTTCAAAGTGTGCTCTAAGTGAGACCATAATACACTTATAACATGTGACTTCAAACTTTCAGAAAAGACGACTGCCAGTGTGCAGCTCCTCAGGTGGGAGGCATGGAGGCTGCACCCAGGGCAGCAGCAGAGCCCTGCCGAGGACAGGCAGAGGGGCAGCGATGGAGCAACAGAGCTCTGGAGCCACGTGGTCTGGGTTCAGATCCCAGCTCCACTGCTTCTTAGCTCTGTGAGGTTAAAGAACTCAGGCAAGCTTTCTGTGCCTCAGTTTATTCATCCGTCAATCCAGGCACACAATTCCTTGTAGACATTTTTGAGAATGAAATGACTCTAATGACATCTAAGCAACTTAGAGCAAATAGTTGATAAATAGATGATAGATGATTAATTATTTGCAAAGATATTTGAACAGTACTTAGCACATCAAGCCAGTTTATATGTGGGTTAAACAAAGAAAATGTATCCAAGAGCACCTCAGTGGTGGGATCAACATGATGACTTTTGGCCCACAAGTTGTGAGAAAGAAAGGAGGAGCTGCCACTCAGGACAAGCCCCGGAAGCAAAGGTCAGAAAAGGTGGCTCAGGAGGGCAGAAAGCCCCTAACTGTACCTCAGCAGCAGAGGGGAGGGCTAGGGGAGGCCTCCCTGAATGTCTTGGGGATATAAACCCAAGTGCAAATTCTGGATCCCTGCAACACACACATACTGCTGGCCAAGACCTTGGAGCTTGCTCCCAATGCTCAGACCTAGTGACCTACAATCACAGAGATGGCAAGAGGATAGACATCAGGCCCTAACTCCCAAAGACCCAAAATGTTCCCTGGGCACCTTCAAACCTTCCTATAAGAAAACTCTGACAAGGTAAACCCCAAGGACCTCTCCTGAAGTCCTAATTTATAATCCCTGTCTCAGTTAACCAGGACACTACTGTTCTTAACAGGTGCAAATTAAATAGCTCAACACCGCACTGCCATTAATGTCCCTTATGTCCCTAAATGTCCCTTATCCATGCCAACACTGAGAGAAGCAACCTCCTGTGCCTCCGCACCTCACCTACAGACCTCAGGCTTCTATAACCTTGCACTCCCAAGGCCTTCTCACCTTCTCAGCCCC